GAACATGGAGGACCTGCAGAGTCCAACAACCTGAACATGGAGGACCTCTCTTCAGTCTGACCGTGGTTTCACTTTCAGAGGCTGTTCAACTTGAACAACACAAGATCTTATCAGAACTTTTGTCTTGTCTTCAGCTTGTCCACACTGACACGTCTTCAACACTAGTGTAAAAATACTGATAAAAACTTTAACCTGAACGTTTCTAAAGGTGCGGGAACAAGTTGCTTCTGTTCGGAGATTTTATGTTTTACTTTGTGAAATGATAAAAATTGTAGCTCCTCTGTTTTTTTTCTCTGAATGTTTTTGAGAAAGCTTCAGGAAAATAAAAGGTTTGTTGTTTGAAAAAGACAGCAGGATGCTGTTTTACTCAGGCGGGAGGAAACGAGATGGTTTCATTTCCAGCAGGAGATGAATCCTCAATTTAATCCTCCAAACAAACGTTCAGAAAAAATGATCAGTCAGAGCAGCAATCCAACCCAACGAAATTTTCAATTACGGTTTGTTGTATATAGTTTTACCCAACAATGTTTAGTCAGGTCATCTGGTTTTGTTTTGTTTTGCCGAGATGTTTCATCCTTCATCCAAAGGACTTCCTCAATCTGAGAAGCCACCAAACAAAACTGGTTCCCACAAACAGCATACCCCATAGTGGGAAAAAACCAGTTTGCTGGTGCAAATTGTTTTTCCCACTATGGAGCAACTCTATGAGGTCATGACCAGAGCGCCCTCTAGTGTTTTATTGAACCCTATGAGGTCACATGACCAACCTCCTGTGCGAGAGTTGGGGGGTTCGATTCCACTAGTAGTCACATGTTGAAGTGTCCCTGAGCAAGACGCTGAACCCCTCTCTGATTCTCATGCGCGTCCCTTCGGTGTATGAATTTGATCTAAAGCTCTGATTAGTCTCTTTAGAATTGTATTTTATTTTTTTATTTTGGCCACGCCCTTCCTCAGGGGTAGGAAACTAACTTGCACAAAGACTTGGTGATTGTTTTACACCGGATGTTCTTCCTGACACAACCACAGACACCGAGCTACCACAGCCTCTGTGTGGAGCAGAGAGCTGCATCTAGTGCGCTCGAGGGAGCAGATGGTGGGGGTTAAGGGCCTTGCTCAAGGGCCCAGAATGGGTAAAACGAGGGTGGAGGCAGGTGTGGGTGCTTCACTTTTCCCACCCACACTTTGATGTTGATGTTGTCTGTCTGCGGGGTCGAACCGGGACCTTCCCATTGCAGGCTCGCCTTTAACTTCTGCACCACCACCGAGAGCCCGTTCATGCCAGGGTACATGAGTTTGCGTGCAACCCACCGTATGGCGTGATCCATGCGTGACACGGTGAGGTACGCCGCGAGGTTGGCAGTGTAGGACGAGCACACGATGAGCGTGAAGAGCCACCAGCTGCCCATGACGATCCTCAGAGCCACAGAGCCGACCACGCCGTCCCCTCCTACAAACACACACAGATCGTCACGCCGAGGCCAAACGCTGGGCAGCAGGTATCAGACGTGTGACCTGCCGCTGACCACAAGAACAGAATCTTTATTGTCATTGCACATCAGGTATACAATGCTGTGCTTCTCAGTAAACAGTAGAACGGTAAAACAGGAATAAATATAGCACACTTTGAGTTCAAGGACCTGATGAACCAGGCAAATAAGCGGTTTCTAAGTCTGCTGGTCCAGCTTTTAAGGCTCATGTACCTCCTGCCAGAGGGCATGAAGGTGAACAGGTGCTGTCCTGGGCGTGAGGGGTCGACAATGATTGCCCTATGCTATGAACAGCATCCTGACGTAACTCCCTGCTCCAGGTGGCTGAGTGCTGTGTGAAGAGCTGTAGTGATGGCATCCTCCGTTGATCTATTTGCTGTGTAGGCAAACTGCTGTGGGTCCAGGTTTAAGGGAAGACAGAACTTGATGCGGTGCAGGACGAGTCTCTCAAAACGTTTCATCACAACCGATGTTAAGGCAATAGGTCTGTAGTCACTGGGACACTTTGGGGCAGGCGACAGGGACAGGAGTGATGGTAGCTGATTCTGGCAGCCTGTGACAGTGAGAGGTTGAACAATCTGGTCAAGACGCCCACTAGCTGGTCAGCACAGCCACAAAGTACTTTTCCTAGTACACGATTCGGTCTGGCTGCTTTCCTGGTGTTTGTGGTCTTCAGCAGTGGCTTCACCTGATGCTCCTGGAGGGTGAATGTTCTGTGACTTGAGGTAAGTGGTGACCGTGCATCTGTGTGTGGAGACTCTGCCTCGTAGCAGGAGAAGAAATAATTCAATTCCTCAGCCAGTGATGCATCAGCGGTGGTAGTGAAGGGTGTGGAGCTCTGTATCCCCTGTCACACCAACCTGGCTGTTGTTGGCGAGATGAAGGAGAGAAGACCTCCTGCTGCCTGCATCAGACAGGAAGCTGCGTTTTATCACAGGCAGCAGAGAGGCAGCTAATCACAAACCATCAGGACTAAAAGGGTTCCCAGGAACCCTGCCAGACCATAATAAATGTATCTGTTGGGAAACCGTGTCCCTGCTCCAGCATCAGCAGTGGGGGTCCGGCTGTGCTCCTGGTCGGCTCCAGGCTGCTGGAGACGAAACGTGTTTCAGAAGACAAGTCTGAAAATGTTCCCAGTGTTTGGGGAAGTTGAGATGTTTTCTCACAAAAGAAGGAGCTTCTGTTAAATAAGAACAGCATATAAAATTATAAAATCTAAAAGCTTTGACTTTTTTACAATAAGTTACAGTTACAGAATGTTTCAACTATACTCAAATCTTAAAGCACTTCGTTATCAAACACCTGGAGAACACCTACAACACGGCTTTCAGCTGACCCAGGAGATGGGTGCTGTGACTTTTGCGTTTTGTAACTTTTACAGTTAAATATTTAACATTTATGGTTTTTCTTGTAGAAATACAATGAGAACTCTTCCACTCCTTCAAATCATTGTTCTGTTTAAACTCTGCTTCAGCAAACCATCTCTGTTTGTGTCTTCCTACACTACTTTTAGTTTTTGATGTTTTCAAGGTTTAGCTAACCTTCTAGAGATACTTTGAGGCATTTAACATCATCGACATATAACTTGAGCCTCAATGAGGTGGTATAAAGGAAGGAGGATTTCTGAGCCTTCACCATAAAACCGAGTCCACAGTACTTCTGTCGATCTGATGCACCGTCCTTTCCTTCAGAACAAAACCCAGAGATACTTGCACTCCTCCACCTGGTTTGAAGAAGATATGTTCAGTTCTCACTGAAACATCTACTGTTTGAGGAAAGCCCAGTCTTTGCCTGTAGTGTTGTCAGTGTCAGAGTTGGAACTTTGTCCCCACACACAAAAAGAGACATCCCTGTATAACATAAGACAGGACGAGGCCTGGATGGGTCACGTCATCTGGTAAACATCTGCACCAGCAGCTAGTTGCTGCCTGTTTGAAAGCAACAGTGAAGAGTATGACTAGGAGAATGTATCTCCAGCATCTTGCTCCATCTTCAGCTTTAAACTTGCAGCATACGAGTGAATGGATGAAGAACTTGCTCCTCCGGGACACCAGCAGGTCCGATGTTAAAAAGCATAAAAAATTATTCAGGTCAAAAGTTGTGAAAGGTGACCTTTGGGTCAGAGGTCATGGTCGCCCCCCCCCCCGTGTGTGTATGTTTTCTAAGCTAGCACAGATTTCTAAACGCTGATGTTCAGCAGCAGAGATCTTGAAAACCTCTGTGCATACGTGATTTTATTTTGGAACCAGGTCCACACCCAGTCCCTTCCCCTGGTGGTTTCTCTTTGCTCACCTTGCTGCACAAATGCTCCATAAACGATCCAGATGGCACTGTGCAGCGTGCCCGGACCCACCCCGTTGGATAGCGGTCCTGGTGCATTAAGGGAGGAAGAGGAGCGCAGCGCCTGCAGCCTGTTGAGCAGGAAGATGAGAACTCCCACCACGGGGATGGCAGCGGCGATGCAGGCCCAGACGGCCAGGTCGAACGGGGCGAACAGGGAGAAGATGTTGATCTTCTCCTCGGGTTTCCTCAGCAGGATGCCCACGCTGTAGTCCAGGTAACGCTTGCTGAAGTCCACCACGTTCTCCCTCTCCGGCGTGATGGTGATGGCTGACACGGCAAGGTCGGCTCTCTGCAGGAAGATGACAGAAGAAATGGAGGCGGACAGGTGTGTTACGCTCCGGGAGGTTAGCTGCCAGAACCTGTCTGATGAACCTCTGTGTGATTCTTAGAGCAGTCTGATGGTCGGCAGCACCAATTAATTAATCAACAGTTCTGCTGCTTCATTTTAACCTCAACTTTTAAACCCTGGAGGCATTTATGGGTCACAATTATACCCAGAGAACTGGTTGATGAAGGCTGGATTCACCTTGTTGATGAGATCACCGATCATTCCATTCCACGAGCCGTTGGGAAGCTGGGAGCCATATTTACTGTCTGTTACCTGACAACAACAAAGAAAGGACCAGTGATAATACGGACCAGTCCAGAAAACCAAGTCGCCTGATCGTCTGCAAAACCAATCAATAACTGTTCATTTATTATTCTTCACAACCTTTTGAACATCGTGTGGAGGGTCAGGTGTTTGTCAGACACACTCAGCCCAGACTGAAGCGTGAGTCTGACAAACAGTCTGGTTATTTTATAACTATCAAGTGTTGTAGAGAACTCTCTGAACAAACTCACTTTACAGAGAAAGAGTTTAAATCTGACCACATTAATTATCTACTGGTAGTTCAAATATCTGAAAGAACAACTGGACTGATGCCATTTTGAAGCTCTAATCTTCAAACAACATTTTATGAACCTGCCATCACTTCAGCATTACATGTGGTTCACATACAATTCTGTGGTTATTTTAAAACCGTGACAGCAGCAGTTAGCTGTAGCTCTTCCTGCAGGACTATCAGTATTTCTATCACAAGAACATCTACAAACAGGTAAGATATTAACAGTTCATAACCCTTTATTTAAAATGTAGTTAACTCTCTTTTAGTGTATTCACGTTTCAGATGAAGCTGTACATTTTTCAGGTTTCAAGCTGAAACTCAGTTTCTGAGTATCTGTTATCAAACTCATAATTCTTCTCTGACTCCGCCGAATTAAGATGATCCTGACAGCTGTCTGCTGCAGGTAAGATACTGACATCATAACCATTGGCACTGATAACGTAAAATAGGGAAGACATATTGGGAAAAACAAATATATATATTACCAGTAAGGCCAGTGATGGAACATAAAGTTTTGGTTTTGTGAAGTAAAACAACTGATAAAACCAGTTTAAACGCTGGTGGAGATTCCTTCTTTTAACTAGGTAACATGAAAGGTTTCTTGAATGCTTGTTGCCCGCTGCCGTGCTGTTAAAGTTCGACACAAAGTTTAGTTTGACCTGGAGTCCACGTCGAGACGGAAACCTCTCACCTTTAGAAGCAAAAGCAGACTTGTCCTAACACCACAACAATCAGAAACAACTGCAGCTGGAGTCTTAAGTTTGTCCCTTTTAGCGCACCGTAGGCGAAGTGACTGATGCATGTGCTCATTTTGACCCGTGTGAAAAAGGTCAAGGTCAGGCCTCACCGTGACGTTTCAACCCGACGCCTGACACCTTTAATGAGTGGAACCACAGATGTGTTCTCTGAGCCTCACCTGGTAGATCTCGTATTTGAAGCCCAGGATTTTGGCGAGGGCGTCCAGGACGTCGATGGAGAATCCTTTATACCTCTTGGGCTGCCCGAGGATGTTCTCTGCCACCATGACGAAGGGATCCTCCTGCGGAGAGTCGGAGAGAGGAGCGCGGGGGAGTCACGAGGACGAAAGCTTCAGCGCTGCAGAAAAAAGATGACTGCAGATCTGAAACGTGTGCTTCAACGAACTGGGGGTTCAGGGACAGTTCTCATGACAAATCACACGCACGCTTTAAACAGTGGAAACACGGGCCTTCAGTGTGGAGGAGTCCACGTCTGTGCACAGAACCAGAGGTTGTGTGTGTGTGTTGCAGCAGGCCGTGGACGGCAGGCTGGAGGTATTAGTCCTGCTTGGTTGGACCTGCGTCTCTGCGCCGCTCCGGCAGCAGAAGAAGAACTGGGCTCTGCCAGAGCAGACAGCTGCTGCTGTCGGAGCGCAGACGGTTCGTTTCTCTTAAACTAATCACACCGAACGGACGAGGCGCTTTCAGCCAAAGAGTTGGACCGGCGCCTTAAAATAATCAAAAAGTTTGAAGGTGGAACTTTGTGTTCCTCAACGAGAGAATCTCTCTGAAGGACGAAGACACCGAGCCGTCAAAACCCTTGACTGACCATTTCCAGGGAACTCATAGAAGATGAGCTCATCACAAAAAGCTGAAATTACTGTAGCTATAGCAGCTAAAGGAAAAAACTGATCGTTTTTATTTGTGTTTCACCAGACTCAGCAGCTGTAAGAGCTGTTGGAAAAACAGCTAAAGATGTTGTGTGTTGAACAAACAGCTAAAGATGTCGTGTATTGAACAAACGGCTAAAGATGTCGTGTGTTGTACAAACAGCTAAAGATGTCGTGTGTTGAACAAACAGCTAAAGATGTCGTGTATTGAACAAACAGCTAAAGATGTCATGTGTTGGAAGGTCCATCACAGATAAACTCTACTGCAAGAAAGTTCATGCAGCCTTTGGCTTCGTGCACATGAGGTTGCTCTTTCCAAATCGTTTTGTTCTTTCTAGAAAAATGTCTAGGTAACTTTTGCACCATTTCTAGAAATACTTTGAACCCAGACGCTGCAGTAACGATGCCAGGCCTGGAGGTGGCGCTGTCATAAAACGGCACCACAAACAGGAAGCGATGCAGAGCAGACGCTGCAAACTGTGAACACAAGCAGGAACACACAAGGATGGAGAACACATGAAGATACGAAGTAGAGCTCCACTGTGTCCCAGTAACTGCTGCTGACCGGAGACGTGTCCACAAACATACGAGGACATCATGGACGCCTTCAGGCAGAGGGTCTGGTGGGAGCTGAGTGGAGGGATTTCCTCACAATGTTCAAAGGATTGAGGGAAACTTCAGTTCAGTAAAGTGATTAAAATATTTTGGCCTCAGAATATTCAGAGTAATAATGAGAGCTTTAAGGCTCTTATTGTTCATCAGCATATTAAGCTTTTACTGTAGTTGTAGCCGCATCTGTCATCAGAGGTCATGGGCTAGCTTAGAGCTGCGACTATGACATCATCGTTTTCAAAAAGTTATGTTTAGGCTGTCCACATCAGAACACCAGGGTGGCGTTTTAGGACTTTTTCACTCCGACACCCAGTTATCAACAAATCTAAATTAGGGGCTCTTAAAATGACGTTAAAAAAGGACGTTAATAAACAAATTCAAAACGAATCAGAACTGCGGCACCTACCAGTAAGGTGACCACTTTAACCGTCACTCCCTGCATGCCGTTCTCTATCCGGCTCTCCTTCAGGCTGCCGTTCAGTCCGTGGACCGAGTCCCAGGTGGCCAGCTGCAGAGAGGACACACCAGAGACAGCGTGTTACAAGAACAAAGTGTGTGTGACGCTACGCTAACGAATCATGTCGTTAGCTGAAGAGTCAGAGGTCGTCGGCGCAGTGCAGCAGTTAGACAGCGTGGCTCACAGGCGGCAAATTATTCACTCATGTCCAGGGTCTTCACGTCACGGCTCGGTCCTCCACTGCCAGACGGAGACAACGCAGGACATCAGGCCGGAGACAACATCGACACACGTCCACTTTTCTTTATTCCAACACAGTCTGACACAAAGAACCTGAAACTAGGTCTGAATCGATCCACCAGCGCCGCCGGCCCGCTCCAGTCACATGTTCAGTTAAAACAGCAGGTACAGGATCCTCCTAAGGGTCCCAAAGAAGACGCATCGGGTGGTAGTAGCTGAGAGTCATCCCCAACACATGCACCAAGTCAGCAGCCCATGAGCATTATTTAGCTTCTGTAGCTCATGCGCAGCATTTATTCAATAGTTCTTTTTGAACACATAAATAAATAAATCCGTCTTGGTTCAGCACGTTGGGCACTTTGGTTTTCAACCAGCTGTTCGAGCCGCAGCGCCGGACCTTTCAGTTCTTCTGCCTCAGTCGCCATGGAAACCCTCTAAACACAGCAGGGCATCGTTTCTCTGCACAAAAGATCAGAGCGTTTGTTCTGGAGTTTTACTGAAATCAGAGCGCGCACGCACGCACGCACACACGCACACACACAAACACACACACAAACACACACACACACACACACACACACACACACAAGTTTACTGATTGGTTGGGACGCACACAGATGCACGTCTCCTCCCCATTTACCCACAATACATCTGCTGCCTCCAGTTATCAGTGAGCATTTATTACGCAAACTGGTTTATTATAATTTTTATGAATTAATAAATTCATAAAATCACTTGAATGTGCAGAGCTGTGAACAACCAATCAGATCGTTCAGGTGACAGGAAGTAGATTTGTGAACCTGCTGCTTCAGTTCAACTCTTTACACGACGGTGAGGATAAAACAAATGTTAACAGAATAATAAAATCTGATGCTGCTCAATAATCCAGGTGGAAAAATCTAAAAAACTGCACAACGTCCGAAACATACGGATCTCTGCAGATAAATTATTTATTGTTCTGAAGCCAAGTTTTCAGTTTATTTTTCATTCCTGTTTTATGTTTGTTTCTTAGATTGAATTAAATTATTAAAATTAATTAACATTATTAGCCTCATTAATTAAATTACCTTTGACATTAGACACCATTCACAGTTCATTAATAAAAACATGCAGCGTTTGACAGAGACTCAAGTTTATTATTCTGCTGAGAGAAAAACAGTTTGTTTAAAAGATCCAATTATTTAACATCCATCCCTCCATCACTCATCCCTCCCTCACTCATCCCTCCATCCTTCATCCCTCCCTCATCCCTCCATCCTTCATCCCTCTATCACTCATCCCTCCATCCTCCATCCCTCCCTCATCCCTCCATCCTTCATCCCTCCCTCACTCATCCCTCATCCCTCCCTCACATCAACAGTCTCACAGACCACCAGAGGTTGTTTGTTCTTCAGACAAACTGGTTTCTTGTAATTAATAGAGAAGGCACAAACTGGTCAGACGGCCTCCATCTTTACTTCCAGGGTTTCTAACGAGTCCTTTCTGTGATCTTTGTTTGGAAAACGGCACATCTGGACTCAGACCCATTACTGAAACACTTTCCTGTAACAGCGTCCTGCTGTTGTCGCAACTCGGCAGTGATCTCGTGCTTCTCCAGGCTCAGAAACTGACGGCACAATTAAAAACTGGCCTGATTGTTGGGGGGGGGGGGGGGGGG